ATATATTCAACTTTTGTGAGAAAATTTCTCTAATCCAGGAAACACCATTTACAATGTTTTTCATGTATATATGTCAAAGTTTGTTACTAATCCTATTGCAAAACTGAGTCTTTTTGAACTTTTTAACATTTTGATATATATTTTCACATATTATTGAAGTTAACTTATATCACACTTTTCCAGATAGTTTCATTTAATAATATTGTGTTACTAATTCTGCCCTGATGAATTTAATACTTTTTTGATTAGTAGTACTTTGAAAACACACATGAGAGCTGATAAAGCAAAGTTTATGAGCATTCTAAAGTACAAATAAAATTATATTCTATTAAACTGAACAAATAAGGATTGTGAGTAATCAGAGGAAAGCTGTAAGGATCAGAAGGTTTAGTGGAAAAAGCTGGTATAGGTACTGCCATTTGACAAGCACTACTTTTTTCTAGAATGAATCCTTTAACATGGAGATGATGCTCTTCTTTATGAAAAAGAAGAGTTGTAAAAGTTGCTACATTATTTTAATATACCAACTATTTTCCCCTTATTATTGATTGTGCATTTTCTCTAGGGGCAAATAGGGGGCAGTCCAGGGACATTTTTTTTTCTTTTGGGAAATAGTGTTAACACCAATGTGTTAAGTGACTGCAATAAAGTTTCATGTCTGTGTTTCTTGTGATTAAAGGGAGTTGGAGAGGAGAGGTACCAATTTTTTCAAAAGGAAAGTTATTTCTAAAGTTTACATTTTAATCTAAACCACTTTGAATATCAACTGGGTCCAATCTTATTTCATAGATGAGGCCCAGAAAAAATTGGTGACCAAGACCACAGGTTCATGAATGGGACCAGAACTCTGAATTCCAGTTTCTAACTGGTTGCTCTTTTCCCATAGATTTTCTTCCCACACAAACCTCCTTAAAACCCAAGATTTCTTCTCACTTTTCCCATCTTTTACTCCCTACTGTTCTTTTTCTCCCTATTTTTGTAATACCTGCCCTCTCCCTCTAAAATAAACAATATAAATATTGAAATAATACCTGGGATACAGTCCATAGTCTTCTTTTAGTTATTTCTTTTGATGTGATAAAGTTTAAAAGAATAAATTGATTCAAGGCTTTAGGGAGAGTGAAAGAATTATATATTTGCATTATTTAAATGGTGGTTTTCTGGGGCTGGTGTTGTAGCTCAGTGGTAGAGACCTTGCCTTGTATGTGTGAGGCACTGGGTTTAATCCTTAGCACCACATAATAAATAAATAAAGATATTGTGTCCATTTACAACTAAAAAAAAAACATTAAAAAATAAATTGTAGTTTTCTTCACAAACTCCGAATATTTACTATAAGAAGATCTTTAAATTGCTGGGCATAGTGGTGGATGTCTGTAAGCCCACCTACTCTGGAGGCTGAGGCAGGAGGATCACAGTTCAGGGTCAATCTGGACAATTTAAGGAGACTGTCGCAAAAACCAACCATCCAAACAACCCTAAAAAATACATGTTCAAGTAGTATAGACCAAAAACAGTGCCTTTTATTTTTCAAATAAATCATAAAACTTTTTTTGTGCTATTCTAAGCAAAGAAAGGCTTATTACTATGTAATTTTTTTTTTAATATTTATTTTTTAGTTCTCCGCGGACACAATATCTTTGTTGTTATGTGGTGCTGAGGATCGAACCCGGGTCGCACGCATGCCAGGCGAGCGCGCTACCGCTTGAGCCACATCCCCAGCCCTTACTATGTAATTTTAATAATATTATTAATTTAATGAAAATCATTTAAGCAAGTATTTGTTGAGTGTGCTTGGAAAATACTCAGAAGTAGTAATCATAAAATTTTATTTCTTTTCTACTTATTTGGAGAGAAGTGTGTTAATATAACAGTTGTTTTTGAAATTTCAACTTTTCCAAAGAGGTATTTTCTACAATAATGGTGGTCCTAAAATAATGCCCTTTTTCTGAAATGATTTTGTTGCTCTAAATATTTTGTTGAAACATAACTGACCAAAAAGAAGGAAGAGTTTATAAGTACTTGTTTTTTGTTTTTGTTTTGTTTTTTAAACAAAAAGGCACTTTGAGTGGCAAACTTAAAATTTAATCCTTACCTGTATCTCCACAATTTTGCTTAGTTATTCCTTGAGAAATGTGTTAAGAAGGCATTACAGAAAATTTTAAGATTTCCTGCAGCCATGAAAAATTCTAAAAGGAACAGTTGTATTAAGCCAGAGCTTGCTTGTCTTTAGATAGGAAAATTAAATGCAAACCTATTTCTGCTTCTGGAAACAAAAACAACGTGCCTGTATGTTCTGAGGAGCCTCTACCATAAGATTAACACGGGTAGTCGGTACTCCTTGTTTAATTCCATGTTTTTAATGTCAAGAAAGTAACTTCCATGTGGTATCCTGAAAGGCAGTGGCTGGCTTCATCCTCCCCGACGTGTGGGTTGTCAGTAGCGGGACGATGAAAACAGGACAGACAGGGTTCCCCAGAACCAACTAGCCAAGCGTCCAGCCCCTCCAGTCGGCTTTACCAGACCCTTAGAAGGTACCGCTTGGGGTGGTGATGTTTTCACGGCTTCCTGATAGGACGGGTAGGACTGCACTGGAGTCTGTTTGAAGACAGCTCCATTTTACGCACGGCCCGGTGGGGGTGGGGACAGGCATTTTCTTGGGTCCTCCTATTCTCCCTCTCCTCTTGACCTTACTTATCTTAAATTTAGTAGGTTCTGGCATCCTGTAAAGGACTCAAATCATAATGTATATGTGGAAACTGAGTAAAAATGCTAGATTGTGCCCGGTGTTTTTGCCATAGTTGTGAAAGCAAGGGTTTCTTTTGTTCTTGGGAACAAGATGACAAATGTAAAAGTCTCTTAATTAGTAAGACAACATCAGCCTTTTGAGTGGCTGGAATTCTACAGAGGAGGTGGTGATATGATGACTAAAAGGAAAGATGACTGAATAGAGAAAGGTGAGAGGAAGTTACTGGGTAGGAGGTGGAAGGAAAGGGGAGATTTGCTGGCCAGGGACTTAGGGGACTCTGTTGCGAAGGGGGCGCGTGGAGGCGCGGGGACTACAACCCCGCAGGGGCTATGGACTGTGTCTTATTTGCCGGGAGGAGAGACCGGTAGAGTCTGTAGTGCTGCAGACCCTCCTCCTAGTTTTAAGAACCAAGCATTGTTTGTGCTTTTATAGAAGTTATTCATTGCTTATAGTTGAAAACAACCACGGTGGGCTCTGGCACCTTTTGGTTCCTTACATTGTACTGCGGGGCATGGGGGAGGGGGGCGGAGAGGGCGGGGAACCGGGGATGATGTTAAGCTGGGAAAGCATGTACCTCCTTTTAAAATGGGGAAACTAAGATTGTGATGACCAACAGGCATGTGTTAAATTATCTCTGATTTTTTCCCCCTTTATTGCGTTGACGATTCTTTGTAGCTACTTGGGGAACTCATTTTAAAGACATTTTGAAAGAACTATGATAAATCAAGCTATAAAACATTTGGCTTTCTCAGGTATAAAACATGAGTTTTGAGTCAAACTCAGGTCTTTCTGGGACTAAAAACAAGTAGGAAATGAGAAAAGAATTAAAACCAGAAGACTTAAGGAAGGTGACAAATTGGAAAGCATTATAAGAGACTCACAGGACTATTTTATATGAAAGAAACACTCTATGAGCTATAAGAGCTTATGGTCAGTTTATAAAAGGATCTTAGGCTCAAAAGATTTAGAGAGGGAGCAGAATTGGTGAGTGGGATTCTCTGTCTCCAGCTTTCCCTTTTTAACTTCCTTTCCTCCTTCCTCTTTTTCCTTAAAACCTTCCCGTTCTCTCCCCCTTTCTTTAACCCACCCCAAGGTATGTAAATGCATTTGCCTTAAATTCTTTGTGAATGAATTTTAGAGTATTTCTCAGGGTTCCCAGTTGAAAAAGCCTTCTACACAACTTGAAAGGCTGATGTCCCTCTCAGGAAATGAATGAGTCGATAACCTCTGACATCAGTGACCAGTCCAGTGAACCCTACCTTAATTCCTCTAATACTGGAAGCCCCCAATCAGGCACAACTGTGTAACTATACCATCCAAATATGGTTAAGCCATGTTATCCCTCACTTTGCATCCGCATATTGATAAGTTTGAATTTTATTAAATTTAATAATAAATAGATTCAGAATCACTTGCATATTGTACTCCTGAGTTGTGAGTAAACTATGTTCTAATGAAAGAGATAAAATGTGATTTATCATGTTTTACAAAACTAAACTATATTGGCCTGTGAATTTTATAATTATTTTTACATAAATAATAGAACCTCACATCGGTTTACATTGAATATTATCTCAGATTCTTCTCTATTGGTTTTTTAAAAGTAATTCTTTAAAATATAAAAACTTAGTTTCTATCTTGTTTTGCATGTAATATTTAGCCTTTAATACTATCATTAAAGTTACTCAAGTCAGTATAATAATTGTAGTAATCAATTTCTGCCATTAAAACAATGCCTAGTAAATGTTTTGTTAGGAAATAAATCTTCAAAGTGTGGAACTTTTGTTACACTTTCAAAATCATTTGGAATTTTATATTTTCCCCCTCCCAAACAGCTGGCACGTTATTACCCTCAAAATAAATGAAAACAGAAAGCTTGTCCTCTTTCCTGAGAAACAAAAGAAACATAGGGAAAAAAAATCTTTCGAAATTGATCAGTTTTGATTGACACCTTTTATCAGAAACAGCTGAAAATAACTTCCATTTTTATATGCACCGATTTCTTTATATTTGAACTAATTAGTTTAAATTTATTTTTAGTTGTTTAATATGAGGAAGAGGTATTAATTAGTATATGTGGGGTTTTCAATAGCTTTTCAAAATCCCAACATTTTATGTGTGAAACGCTGGAGAACATGGACTTGTTTGGAGATGGGGAGGGGGATGCGGGCATGGTGGGGGAGGGTGAACTTAGCTTTGCAGAAGGGAAGTGGTATCTTTGCAGTTAGTTTTTCCGTAAACTGCTTGTTTAAGAAATGGGGGGTGGGGTAGAAAAAGACTGGTGGGTCTTTTAATTTTTCAAAACAGGCTACATTTTATATTTTAAAGAAAGCAAAGCATTTCTAGTTAATCTGTAATATTTACTGTAATTAGTATTCAATGGGGGGTGATGTTGTCAGCATCTCCTAATCAACAATCTCCTGAACCCATTTGAAAGGTTAAAATGTAAGCATTTTGAAAGTGGGGGCCAGCGGGGAAGAGACGGGAAGACCCTAATCCGTTATTAAATTTTCATTTATTCGACTGTTGTGCCCGCTGGTAGTGGACATTTAAAATGTCATGGTCCAGTCAATATCATGAATTTACCTTTTCCTGGGTGTGCAGCTCTGCACCGACCCCTCAGTGCCCGCCACCCCCACCTTCTCTGCTCTGCGCTGCAGCCGCCTCTCCTGGCGGTTCCTCGCGGTTCTTCAGCACCTCCCCTGCCCAGCATTCCCCTCCCCCTCCACCCTACGTGGTCTTGCTCTTGGGGAACAATCGCCACTGATTGAGGTTCACTCTATGTTAGGCTGGAAAACTGGGCTGTTATTTAGGAAGTCATTAATCACATCTCCTCCCCCGGAAAGAGATGGCGGAGAAACCTGTGAAGTACAATTCCTTACCAACCCCCTCTAAAATTTCCCAAACTGATAAATCTAAACACAATTTGATTACGTGAAAGGTGATAGTGATTCCCCCCCTGTGAAACTTTAAATTATAAAAAAAATTTGAGACACAATTAGATAATTGTGTGCTTTTCTGGTATGTGTATATTACAATATGTAAAGTTTAATGGGGATGTAATTGGGTTTAATTTGATTTTTATAAATTATATATTTTCCTCTAAGTGTTAAGTATGAAATTGGTCCTAAGCAGGTTTGCTATGAAGTAGCTGAATTTTAAGAGAAAAAAGTCATAACATCGGTTGCTTTATTTAAATGACTCCCTGGTATGAGATTATTTAGATAGGGCACGCGTGTGTACATATGATTTTTTCTAAATCGACGATTCACAAGGACCCTCCATTGTGTTTAAGTAGAAGCACAAAATCAGCACTCTGATTTATCGTAAAGAAGCGTCCCAAATTGTCTTTAAGATAACATGTTTGAGTTTTTCGTGTTCATTCATAAATTATTTTGATGTCAGCATAGATGAAATGGCGATTGGTTATCTCTTCCTCCTGCCGGCCCCTTAAGGATCCGAGGTGAAATTAGTAGCAAGAAAGCATGTAATTGACAAAGTCACGTGTGCTCGGGGGCCAGAAACTGGAGAGAGACGAGAAAAAAAAAATCAAAAGAAGGAAAGCACATTAGACCATGCGAGCTAAATTTGTGAACGCACAAAATCAAGATGTTAGATTGATGCAGAAGATCACTCCGTTCCAAAGGGAAAGTTTTCATCTCACGAGTTTGGAGCAGAGGGCCCGTGGGGCAACATGGCCGAAGGTTAATTTTCTTTTCTATTGTTTTACTGTGAATTTCTTTCTTCTTTTCTCACCCCCACCCGCTTTCTCATCCTTCTTCGCCTGTCCCCCACTTCCCCCTTTACCCCAATACTGGGCATTACCTCCCCATCCCCTATCGTGCAATGGGGCTTTATGCAAACCTATTGTTATAGATCTCCAAAAATGTTTTGTACCGCCCACACTGATTCACAACTTGAAAAGCTTTCAGGGGGCTATTGTTTGAATTGTGTGAGTGTGATTAAGCGCAGTTTCAGTTGGTGAGCCCAAGAAAACTTTTATACACCTGCCCCCTCCCCCATTCCACCCCAACTTTAATTGAAAGTTATGGGGGGAGGGGAGTGCACATTGCGAATAACTGTGGATTCACTGCTGCCGCGTGTGCATTAACTAGTAGTTGTTACCATCTTCACAATTTCTCATTCCTCCTCATACCGCCAGAGAAAATAGTTTATTTGAATTTTTTTTCTAAATGGGATCAGTGTTAAATCAGTATTATGCAAGTAAAGTCTCCCATGCTGTACTATATAATATGTGGCTGAAAAAAAAAACGGGAGTTAAAAAAGTACACGTATGTACAGAAACGTGGAAGTTGCTATGATCGATAGAACAGTGTGGCTTCCTCCTTCCCTGCTTCCTTTTAACCTTTTCATTTAAAATATTTTCTGTAGATGAGAAAGGATTCCAGCTACTTACTTTTTTTTTTTTTTTTTTCCAGTCCGCTTCCCTCTCTCACCAACAGTCCCTCTCTCCCTTTTTCTATGAACACAGTATGGAAATACAGACTGATTTTTTTTTTTTTTTTTTGTCCTGTTCCATCTCAGGCGGGGCAAGCAAAGGTGGTGGAGAAGAGCCCGGGAAGCTGCCAGAGCAGGCAGAGGAGGAATCCCAGGTTTTGCACGGAACTGGCCACTGTAAGTGGTTCAACGTGCGCATGGGATTTGGATTCATCTCCATGATAAACCGAGAGGGAAGCCCCTTGGATATTCCGGTGGATGTATTTGTACACCAAGTAAGCCAAATTTTCCCCCCTTTTCACCTTTTTCCATGCGGAGGAATTGATCTATAGTTATTTTAATAGATGTATGATAATGTGCTCTTAGATATATTGAAAAACACAAATCTTCTTTGAAATCACGTGGTAATCCAGTTTTTAGGGCACGTGTGTGAGCTCCTTCCAGGATATCTTTTCCTAAACAGAAAATGAAATCTTTGATATTCGACTATTCGGACCCTGGTTGACGTTATTAGCATTTCCTCCTTTTCATTCGGCAGTGAAATTGCATTCTTGTAGTTTCCGGTGTTATTGGTTACAACAGACTGGGTCGCCTTTGCCCATGAATGAGTGGAAAAATGAATGAAGAAACAGTGATCATTTTAAGGTTTAAAAACAAAAGCAACACATTTCTTTGTAATATGAAATGTATATGTTTTTATTTTAGACACTTAGTCACACAGTAGCTCTTCTATTTATCGTTGCCTGCCTTGAAATCAGTAGAACAAAATAGAACACTATTGGGCTAGAATGGATTTGTAGAAATGCCAAAGAGAATTCTTGGTAGTTAAACATTTTAAGAAATGTACTCCCGGTAGGGAACTGGTGTAAGGTTACTGTCTCTTTAAGAGACTGAACTGGAAAAAAAAAAAAATGTGGCCAAAGGCGGCTCTAGATTGTGTGTTTAAAATGTCCTTGTCTGTTACTTGGGGTAAATTTCCACCTTTGCTTATATTCTATTGTAGTTTTTAAAGATGTTTAAGTACAAGGCAGAATGTCATTGCTTCCCATTTAAAACTTTGTCAGGGAAATAATAAATTAATACCACTTCCTCTTTCATCTATTAATCTCTTTATAGAAAAAAAATTACAATTTGCAAGCCTATTTTTTTTTCCATCAAAAGAAGGTAAGGAAGTATAAATTCTCTAAAGTGAATTTGTAGTAAGAAATAGAGGCTTAGGACAAAAGAGGTTTATTTTGGCTTGACGTCTAAGTTAAAAAGAATTGAATGAATGGCTGTTAATACTACAGGTTGACTGACATAGATGAAATACTTAGTATCTCTACTTGAAAATGATATATTAATTTAATGCTGTGTTGTATGTTTCTGGAATTGGAAATATTTACACCCACCCTTGTAATAACATCTTTAAATTATGTGTATAAACAATAGGAACATATGAAACCATCCTGTTTTGCTCTGTTGTGCTATGGTGCTTGGCAGCTTCCTGACCTTGCTGTATGGTGTGTTTTCCTTTTCTTAAGGCCTGGTCATCATTATTGGCTGTTTACATGTGGAAGGATCAGCATGATTTGTGAATTGAAATAGGGTTTAAATGCATAAATAGGAGTCCACATGCAGGCTACTGAATTTTATGCCTTCTATTTTATATTGTAAAACGAAGCTAAATTTTCTATTATCTTTTCCTCCTCCTTAGACTGAATGACTAAAATAATTGACAAATCCATTTTCTCTCAGGCTCTTGTTTCCCCCTTTGAACCTTCTTTAGATTGTTAAATTGTTCTTTACGATCTCATAAATTTGTTTTATAGATGAATGAAAAAATAGCACTTTTCTTCTTTGTCTGATGATACCTTGTTATAATTTGGCTTTTAACAAAAAATTCAAATATTAGACATTTTATTAATTAATGTTAATATTTAGAACTGTAAGACATCCAAATTTAAGCTATTTAATTGATATATGTTTATAAACATTCTTGTATCCATTGAATTAGAAAGATTATATTGCTGGTAAAGTTTTTTTATATATAGCTAATAGTTTCCAGATTATAAACATAAAATATTTACTTGCATTAATTTTATGTTGCACATCATGTATATATGAAAAGACAATATTAAATGATACCTAGTTAAAGCAGTTCTTATTGAGATTTACATAAATTACATATAAATTATATGAATAATTGTTTTGAAGAAGACAGGAATCCTACTGAGTTTAGCTAGGCAACAACAAGTAATAATTAGATGGTTATAAGTGGTCTGTATAGGTGTTATGTGAGTATCCCCTGAAGAATCAGATTGCAATTCAAGATCATTTTATACAATTTCTAAAAATGTTTTATTTTAGCCATAAATTTTACTATGCAAACGTTTTTGAAGACATCAGGTTTTATTCATGTTAAAGTTTTTCCATTGTGTCTGTAATTTTGTTATACAATAATGTGCATCATAGACAATTAGAAAATTTAACTCAGTGTTCAGGTGGACCAATACCTATGCGCATTATTTAGGGCTGGGGATGTGGCTCAGTTGTTAAGTACCCCTGAGTTCAACCCCCAGTATCAAAATTTTCATTTTAAAAATAAAATAATATATAGTGTAGTTTTTTTGGTGGGTGCTCACAAGTACATGTGTCATTCGGTAAGTATATTGAACACATTTTTTAATGGTATGTATTTGGGGAAATAAAAATGATTTTAGTATTATTTTTTAAAATAATACTTAAAAATTCATGCCAATATGTACCCAGGAAAAATATTGACTGCAAATAACTACATATTAAACCAATTTAGTTGCTATGAAATAAAAGTGTGTGTATTTTAAACTAGAGCTATAGATATATTGTTACTTAATTCTCTATAAAATTTGTTGGTATTAACAATCAAACTTTCTGTAGTTCTGTAGTTGATGGTTGTAAATTCTGAAGTGGTAAAAACACATGCACAGGTGCTGCGCTTTCCCTGATGTTGATGAATGCAGTGAGATGGTGCTCTAGTAGTATAGTGACAATTGGTGGTTTAAAAATGACAGTTTTCATGTGATTTTCTGAAGTTCACATGTGAATTAAAATCGTATTTTATGGCTGGAAAAAAATGTATATATTCGGAAACCATTTTAAGAAATAGTGAAACGTTAATAGAATTTAATAATGAACATTAGTTTTAAAAACTGACATAAATATGTAAGCACTATATTTATACATTTTGTCACACTTCACTGTTTTTGAGGTATGTGATAAAATATTTAACTGAAATTTGAAAATATTGATGGTGATTCAGTTTGTAAAATAGAATGAAGTTTTAGGAATGTCTCAAGAATCCAGTGCAAAATCCAGAGATTTATCTCAGTAGAAGTAAGATTTGGCTCATGATTAATATAGATCTTTAAGTCTTGGTTCTTAATAAGATGATTTCATCAATTATTTTATAAGTGTCAGTAATACTCCTAACAGTTTCCTTATATTAATAAGTTAAAAAGTGTATGCTTAAATTGCCTGGAAAAGGTCATTAGAAGTTTTTTGAAATATAAATATTCATTAGGACTTAAATATTTGATAGCACTTTGGAATCATATGGTAATTAATATTAGATATTTGGAAAAGGGAATGTTGCACAGTACTACCTGTTGATGTTTGTTGTCATGTAAGTTTTTTTTTTTTTTTTTTTACAACATCTTGATACCTAAGAAAACATGATCACTTGAATTTCATTCTTCTGGAGAAATATAGAATCCATTCTTATTGAGCTCTCCTCAGCCTATTCGCAGATAATGCTTTCTTCAAATATTGGGTTTGTATATGTATTTGTAATTCTTCGCCACCAAATAAAATACCAAGACTTTTAATGAAGCATATTTCATTTATTTAATAATTTATGCAGTAAGTTTTCCCAAAGATAGTAATTTCAAAATGACTGTAATGAAATTACTCTTAACAATAGTCTTATACATATATGAGTTTGGTTTTTAAATCATCCCTTACTTTTCAGGTATAGGTATTCTTATGTACTTTATATCTGATTTATATTTTCTTCTTTAAAATGCCCAGCTTACAGAGATTTTGTTTTAATTTGCTTTTATTACTTGGCTTAGAAAGCACCTCAGGGAGTAATGGCTAGAAGAAATCATATATAATAAGTTTAAAGTAGTATTAATAGTGTCAGACTATACAAATATTTGAAGATAAGTAATATAAATATATGAAAATTTTAAATGTTACAACACAGTTGATTTAGCATAGAGTTCATGTCAGGGGTACTCTACTACTGAGCTACAACCTAACCCTTATTTATTTATTTATTTATTTATTTATTTATTTATTTATTGAGATAGCGGCTGGCTAAATTTAGCCCAAACTGGCTTCAAACTTGCGGTCCTCCTCTCTCAGCTCCCTAGTAGTTTAAATTATAAGCATGAGCCTCAGTGCCCAGCTTCATGTTTGTGCATTTTTAATATTAATTATATAATTTATAAAGATAAATTTAGTCCAGTATATTCATGTTTGAAAGCTTTTCATAATATTTCTGATCAGTTAGTCATATTTACTTTTTTTTAAGAAATATTTTTGTTGTAGATGGATACAATACCTTTATTTTATTTATTTTTATGTGGTACTGAGGATGGAACCCAGTACTTTACAGGTGCTAGGCAAGTGCTCTACCACTGAGCTACAACCTGGGCCCCATGTTTATTTTTGTGATAATTTAGCATGAAGACCTTTTATATGCAGAATATATGACTGTTACTCTCAGGACTGTTTAAAATGGCAATTTTATTTTATTTTATTTTATTTTTTAACCTCTCTCTGGGCTGCTAATTGAAACTGGGTCCTTAGGCATGTTAACTAAATTTCACTACAAAACTATAGCCCCAGAACCAAATGCCAATTTTATAATATATTTATACAAAAATAAATCTTGAAAACTTAATATGATCATAAACATTCATAGCTCATTTTTATAACTAAAAATTTATAACTAGTTATGTATTTTAATATTCTGAAGATGGTTTCTATCTACAAAAAATTTTAAGATGTTAAACATTAACATTTTGGAAGACTTTCTTCTTTTATCTGGTAACACTTCCCTTTTGATTTTAAAGTGAGGATTCATTTTCCAGATTCTTTTTGTGTATTTATATTTTAAAAAATGCTCCTATTCAATTTAATCTTGAAGTGTGAATTTTAGTTTTTTTTTTTTTTGGGGGGGGGAGTGGGTACCAGGGATTGAACTCGGGGAAACTCGACCACTGAGTCACATCCCCAGCCCTCTTTGTAT